TTGGTTACCTGAACCAGCTAAAATTATCATTCTTCTCAGTTTTGAAAACCTCTTACTGAATTTTCTGTAGAACAGATCAAAGGAAGGCGACTGGGACCAGTCTGCATGGAAGGATGGGTTTCTCCACAGGGGCCGCGTGTGTGTGACGGGCTTTGCTGGGCACAGCAGAGGCACTGGTGTGGCCTACCAGTCACACAGGAGAGATGCAGGAGGGCGAGGGGTGGGAAAGGAATAAGTAAGTAGGATTATGGTGAGGTATTGCCAAATTCCAGATGTGCAAGGTGTGGCAGGAAAACATATAAAGACTGAGAAGCTTTCGGGTACCTCTGACGTAACAGCATGGGAGCAGGAAACTGCTCTCGTACTCCTGTGTTCCTTGTCTCCCTGCACTGTTGTCTTAGGGGAGTTAAATCCTTGAATGTCCATAGCTTCTGTGAAACCAGCTCAGAAGGGTTATAGTGAAAATGGCTGAGAGTTGCCAGGAATACTTAGGAGATCTCACACACTGATTTGGAAATCTAGAAGGCTGCTGCCAGACAAGGTGTTTAAATCTGGCTGTGAGTCCAGGTTTAGATAAAATGATTCTCTCCAGGCTTAAGGATGGGAGGATTGGGGCATTCACAACAGGCAGGTGACCTTAAGAGTGGGATACATGATTCAGTTTTAACAAGGTTGTACTGATTTAATAAACAAATAAAGCCAACACCAGGCGTTTAATCTATTTCCTAATCCAAACTTCAGTGGCCATTTAGATTTGCCTTAGAGCTGAAGTGCTCAGACTAGCTATCAGCTCTTACTTGTTGTCAATAAAATAATATGTACTGTCAGAAGTATTGTACCTTTAACAAATCTGGTTTTTCTATCCTTACATTTATTATATTAGGTCCTTTGTTTCCCAAATCAAATGACTAATATAAACAAATAATTTGGTGTAGATTCCTTATTTTTAATGTGCTTGTATTAATACAATAAATCAAACCCAAATCCTAGACGATTATACTGTAACTAAAAAAAAAAAGTATGTATAAAAAACCTATATGGGCTGTCTTAAATAGAAAAAGAATGTAAATTAGTAAAAATGATGCAAGAAACAAATTTAAAGTGACCTTTGCTGAGGTTTTTTTATTACCCAAGCATAAAGCTAGGCAGATGTTAAGTAGGCTTCTCTTTGGGCATAACTGTAGTATTATGGGTGTTACATTCTAGAAATTTCAACTAAGTCTCAGAACTTCCTGGGTTTTGATGTTTACTTTCAAGTATTATTTTCTTATTACTGAAAAGCAGTATTTTATGTGCATCACTCATGTGACCTACAATGTCATAATGTTTTATTGTAATCTTGTGATTACAACTTTTTCATGAAGTTGCACCATCTTTACCTAGAAATTTTTATACAACAGGTCATGAAGTAGGAATAAGAATGAAAAGGTAGAGGGCTGTGTTCCCACAACTTGTTTTTAGTCCAAGGGCAAACAATGCAGAGCCTCTCGTGTGTACTTCTAGTCACTTATTTTCCACCGAAGAATAAGATAAACTCTAGCATTCTAAGGCTGTACACTGTAACTAACATGTAGTTAGATGTGGCAGTTCAAAGATTTCATTTGAAAGTGCCAGGCAAAGTTTGCTGATTTAATTAAAATTTTACTTCATCTTGAGCACGTTGGTTGGGAAGCCCTACACAGGAGTATTCTTGGTTTGGACCAAGATCTCTATCTTCTTGCAGACTTCAGACAAATAATGAAGTTAGCAATTACTGTGGAGTAATGTTCAAAGATTTTTAATTCTCAGGATTTCATATCCATAATACAACATAGGAAAAGTCCTGAAATACTTCGGTAGAAAGTTTAACATCTAGAAGTTCACACTGGATTTCTGCTTTCACAGGTAGTGGTTAGTCAGCAGTATGAAAATTCTGACCATCCTTCAGTGTCAGTGTTGTTGGAGTCCTTAGCCATTAAATGCAGGTGCAGTTGCTACTGGTAGACTGTTCCGTTCCTGGTATAATTTGCTGTCTGGTGTCAACACAACCTTGCTGACAGACCCTAGGTCCACTGAGCAGGAGTCTTTTGCCAGCATACTAGTGTAAAACTATCAGAGTGCTCCTAGAATAGCCATTAATTTAGATGCTGTTAGTCAGATATATGGTGTTTTGAATGAGTCTTAGATAAATCCCGATCAGCAGAGTGGTTGAAAGAGGAGTAGGTGCAATTCTGTAAACATGGGATGATTAGGCAATGGCCCATCATTTCTCTGAAGAGAAGCTACAGGGATTCGTACTTCTGCACCATTTGAAATTCTAAAGGGCTAAAACAAAGCGTGTGGTTCTGATATCACACCCAATTAAGGGAGGTATGAATGAACACTTAAGTGCCAATTAGTGGGAATATATGCATGGCATTTTCAGAATGTGCAAACATAAAAGCTTCAGATAATCTGACCTGTGTACTCTTAATCTGAATAGTCCTGAAATCTGCTGGAAGATATGATTACGGCTGCTAGTGTCTGGTTTGTTGCTTCTGCTTCTTTGACCTTCACCCTTCTAATTTCAGCAAACAGCTGAGATCTGACTTGGACTCTGCTTCTTGCACAGCTGTAGCCAGGTTCACATGATCCCTTGGTTTTTAATGGATGGCTCCGTCTAATAATAAGACCCAATCCTTTCGTCTTTACCCAGATTTTATTGAGTGCCTACCTGGACAAATTTATGTTGGAAATTATATACTTCTACTCCCATTATTTTATTGGAATGTATTTTCTCCAATCTGTTTGTTTATTTTTTTATTAATATTTTTAGACTACCATTGTAAGTGTAATTTGTAAGCAGACTGAAATAAAGGGTGCTCAACACTCTTGTGGGGCAGTCGTGTGGAGTGCTTCTTTCTCTGTATCATGTCGGGAGAGAAAAGTACCAAGAAAAGAATTTATTGGTAGGGGAAGTAACACAGCACAGGGTTTTCAGAACAAAACATCTTTTAGGTGAAACAGAGGAGAGTATGGAGTGATTACTTTAAGCACAGAAAATCTCTTAATTCATGTTGATTAAATTAAGCTATGTGCACATCTTTCTAGGAACAGCTTAACGGTTGTCCTCAGGTCTTTGTTAGTACAGTAAGGGTAGTAATAATGATCAAGAACTAAATAGTCCTATCAAGACAACAGTGTGTCATGAACTGCAGAGTAAGTCATATCTGTCAGTCGGCTGGGCAGACAAGTAAGAAATTCTATCTGGTGGGTCAGGAAAACACTTGTCTTCCTAATAATAGCTGTGCTCTTGAAAGCTTCTGCTTTGCAGAACCAGGTGGTGGAGTGTGGTCCTCCACTGTTGAATTTTTTAAGTCACAGTCAAATAGGTCAAGAGGGGAAGGAAATAAAAAAAAAAGCTTAATTACTTGTTTTCAACTCTAGCATTTAGCCGGTTTTTGACATCTAGCAGGTTGCTTTCTGGCATGTTTCTTCCTAATTATGAATGCTTCCCCTCCTGCCCCCCCTTATGAAAGCCTACGTATTTTTTCAATGATACACACTTTTTCCTGCAATACACCAGTTCTCTGAACTTGGTAAAAATCAAACCCTGGAAAACAATTTTTTGCCCTCAGTTTTGCACAGAAGCTTTCTTTCTTAGCTCTCTGTCTTTGATATTAGTCCGTGTTTCCAGTTATCTTTCCTCTTTGTCCATCTCTTGATTCTCTCACACATGCAGTTGCACACAGCTCCTCCAGTTAAAATTATAGTTTTATAAGTTTGCTGCACTGGATTTTCAGAGATATCTCTGAGGTTTCTAATTAAACTTTGTATTGTAGCGTATCTTTGATAACAGCACCTAATTGTTTTAATTACCTGTTTTTATAAAAGAATTGGTGTTTTTTTACATCTGCTGTAAATGGAGAACAGTGGTTACACTCACCTGAGTCAAAGGTGGGTTTCTTCACAATGTGGGTTGCCATAATGAAAGAGCTCCAAAAGGTATCTCATTCCAGAGAGTATATGCAGTGAAATTACTCTCATCTAAGAACAGACCAAGAAGCATATTTTGTCCTGAAGACAGGGACTTACATGTGTCTTCCATGATCTGCATTGACAAAGTAAATCAATGAAAGGGTGGAGGAGGACTTGTGTGTATTATCTCATGAAGATGATCATCTGGAGACACAAAGGGTTTCCTTGGAAAAGAGAAGCGCATCCCACAACTTGTTGATTTTTCATGTTCTGAATAAAGGCAAGGACCAAATATGTATGGACTATATACTCTTTTGAAATTGATCCCTAGCCATAATCTAAATACTATTTTGCTCTGGTTTCGGACAGCATAACTTTCTCCTGTGCTGTCTGCAACTGTCCTTATTTTGAGTCATACTTAGAAATAGGGCAGTTATACTTGCCACCAGACTTTTGTGGTATCAAGGCATGTTCAGAAATCACTAGAATTATCATTTTCAGTATATTTAAGCCATTGTGAAAAAGTGTATCCTTGCAAATACACTTGTAATTTACAAAATACTGTATTGACTGAACAATTGCACTTGTTTCCTTTGCTTGCAAGTAAAGCAAAATCAATTTATTGGCACCTGCATATTGGTGATTTCATAGGAGAATTTTTAAAGGCCTCCTTGATCTGTTGCTAGTTTTGAGCATTCAGAAACTGAAGTCACAGCAGCCTACTGCGTGCCATCTATCCACCTCCTTTCTAGCTGCTCCCTATTACGATGACTTGTCACCATTCACTCCATAATTACATTTTCAAGGTTATTTCCATCTCTACTCCTGATGTGTCCAAAGCACATACATTTATACCTATTCATTTCTGACAGCCAAGTCTACTTTTCTCCAATAATATATTTAATATGAGCATTTATCATCTTTTCTGCCCAGGAGATATGCAAGGGTCTTCGCTTGCACCACATCTCAAAAGCTTCAATTTTCTTCCTGTCACTATCAATAATTTCACAGAATTCAGATTCATAAGTTACTACAGTAAAAAATTAAGCATTTCACCAGTCAAATCTTTCTATTTTTTGAGGTGAATTTTTTTTCAGGCTTTTGTAAGGGAAGCCATGAATGGATCAACTGTTCTTCAGATTTTTCCAGTTTCTATTAGACAGCTTCTGATTGGATAAATTTGATCCCAGGTAATTGAATTTATGAACAATCTCTGTAGCTAGACCATTAAGCATGAAGTTAGCTTATATTCTATTTTTATTAATTAAGTAAAGTTATTGTATTTATGGCACACTCAAAAATAGCCTGTATTTTTCATTAGCCTCTTACTGGCTCTCTAATACTTTCTGCACAGCAGAAGCAGTTGTGACAAAGAGCATTACAGCGTCAGTCAAAGGTCACTTAAAAGGATTCCATCCATTCCAAATTTAACTTTTCCATTCTGTAAAAACCTTCCCAGAATTTTTTTTTTTCCCCATCCAGGCTGCAAGGAAATCTGCAGTTACCCATAGCTGTAATAAAGGCATATGGCTCTTTATGTTTGCTTGGTATTTCATCAAATAACAATACAGATTTGGGGAATTTCTGAGTGTATGGGACTGCTTAGAGGTAATACCACTGAGGAAACTGGGAAAAGTTTGGTAATAAGCCCATGTTGGCTACCTATTGGATGGAAGACAGTATGAGCAGAGCCTCTCCCTCTGCCCCATTAGCTAAAAACTGTCTCATGATCTGTTAAAAAACGAGAACATGTGTAGTACCAACAAATTCTAATGAATCTCCTTCATGAAATGTATCGATTGTATTCATGATGCTGCTGTTCCTAATTCTTTCACAGATACCATGTCTGCTGCTCGCAGTAAAGAAAAGAATAATATCAAACTTTACAAATTAATATGAATTTGGAATTTACCATTATGGTCAAAGAAAGATGTTTGATGAATGGATCTGCAGTCTCAGAGCTGTACTGTAATGATGGGGTCATTTCACAATGATGGATAGGTATGTGGTGTACTATTCAGAGGCTTAAAAACGGGTTGCATTTATCAAACTCAGGGAGGCATCAAAGTGTTTGGGTAGGATTCTGTGAGCAATAGAATCATTACAGTTTGCCTTTGAACAAAGTCAGGAAATGTATTGATCATATAGGTTTATGCTGCTAGGAAAGCAACTAATGATGGTTCAGTCAATGTGTTTTGTGAATGGCTTCAGGGGATAATCATTAAAATGTTACACCACTATACCATTCGGGAACTTGAATGTGGAAGTTGGAATTTCAAACCTTTGTAAAGAACAATTTGCATTTAAATTTACAAAATAAAATTACTTCTTTGGATTGTGCAGCTTTGTTCACTTCATCCTTACGATTCTACTTCAGTTAACACACTGGATATTTTCATCCACGCAGGTCATCAGCCAGCATGACAGAGGAGCACACTGACAACATAGTGATCCAGAAGCAGGGAATACTGAGTATCAGTGGAGGACAATTTTCCTCAATTCAGGATATGTGGCAGCAGAGAAGGTAACTAAGGTTATTTGAGTCAGTACTTGAATGAGTATTTAACAAAGCAGACAATGAATTGGTGTCTGAAGAGAGGACAGAGTATCAGGTATTGAGTAGACAAAGCCAGAAGTAGGCTAGACAAGGGAAGAGCATATATAGAAATGAGAAGCGTGTAGTCTTGACAAACATGAATGCTTAGTAATACAAAAGCTGGTTCACAATAGTCAGATTTCTAACCAAAAATCCTCTATAATGGAATATAAAAAAGTCCACAATGGTAGAGTGATCGCTGAAGGTGATGATATTAAATGCCAGCAGAGGGATTACTGCTTGTAAAGTAGACTGATACGTATCCACTTACAATTTCACCAACATTTAATACCACTATTTATATCCTATCTGAATTTGGCAAGGCAGCTATGTGCTCTGTGTGATACACTGTAACTACATTGTATCAAGCACATAAACACTTGCTTTCTTACTCTGTACTGTTCTTTTTACCTTCCGGACACTGCATACTTACACCTTAGCATTTTTATTTTCAGGGAAGCGCGTGCTAAAATTGTAAACTTTCTTTATTTGAGACCATTATAAAGGCAGACAAAGACTTTTGGCCAGCATGTGAACATTTAAGTCACTACTTCAGATGTACTCAGTGTTTGCTTATGGAATGCCATTGATCTATATTTAATCAATACTTTTTAAACTTCCTTCAAGATCTGCTCAGCAGCCACCTCTAACCCAGCACATGAAGAAGAAAACTGGAGTAAACGAGTTTTTTTCATCCATTTGCAGTATCATCTAGCTTGACACTGCCTGGGTGCACTCTCTTATGCTTGTATCCTTGCTTCAAAAACTGTAACAATATGTTCTCTAACACAGCTCCATAGTAAAAGAGATTTAAATTTAAAAATATGTCAACAAGTCTATTGGATTCTAGCACATTCTGACTATACTAAGAGAACAGAATGATGTTACTTGTAGGAGAGAAAAACTTATCTAGCAATAGATCCTTAAACAACCTAAGGAAGCAGCTTCATATACCAAGTAAGAACACTAAAGGAAGTATACAAATGCTGAAGTAATCTATGAATTAAAAACCTCAAGGACTTTATATTTTCCTGAATTTAAGAAATTTGCAATAATTCTTAGTCTGTCTTCCTACACCCTTATTTTGGTGTTTGTGCTCCTTTCTAAAAGGTTTGTCCCTTGGCCCATTGCTGGATGTGAGAAACGGGAACACAAGAAAAGGTATGAATAAACAGGAGAAATAGGAGGAGCAAAGATGAACACATGTGCTAGAGAATCTGCAGCTGGCTGAGCATTAGGGAGTTTCATGTGAGCAAACAAAAAATGTAGAGATAGAAGATGAAATAAGTAGCCTTGAGCGAATTGCAAGTGTATCTTAAATATCATAATTTGTGATCACCAAGTACAGTTTTGCCAAATTCAAGGTGAACTGGAGAAACCAAATTCTGAGAACAATATCATTAAATGTTCTGTTATATATCTTAAACTTAGACCTAAATGTTCATATTTACTTAATATAAAGACTCCTTTCAAGTTTGATTTTGACTTTGCATATTTGGAAGCTATAAAACCAATCTTTTCTGAAACTAGCTGAACAAACTTGTCATAAGATTTTAAAAAAACAGAACATACTGTTAAAATTCAAAGTTAAAAAGTGGATTTCTTTTGTCCCCTGTTTACATATGAAGGGGAAATCCAAGTCAACTGGAGAGCTACATCAAATATATTGTACATGTCCTGTCTGCTGTTTTGATGCTGCCATGTAAATGTCTTCTTGTTGAGCCTGGGGAGAAACATATGTGTGACAGTGGCTGCAGTTGCACTTGGGACTGACACAGCCTGCCATCCCAAAGAGGCGAACCTGTCTGTGAAGAGTGTTGAAAGGTAAATGAAACAAGCTTAACTAATGGAAGTGGTGTTTGTTTTCTATTTCAACCCTAATAATACGTTTAAACCTAATCCACATAGGGATTTGCTTGTATGTGTCTTTGATCACTGCTGAATTTGAAAAGTAGATGTATAACCAGCAACAATTAGGAGAGTCCAAAAACATTTGCCTTTAAGAGTCATCAGAGTCACAAACTGCATAATGCTGCTGAGGAAAATAATTACCAACATGTGTATGGATGAGGGGGAAATTGGCAATTTGTTCTGCTAAGTATTTAACCTTTTAATTTTCTACTCTTCAGGACTGTTTAGTATATATAGTTTGTTTTTTATACGTGGAAAATAGGCAAGTTTATAACAAACACTGATGTAAAGATAAAATTCTTACTTGGTTTTGAGGTACGCATTATTCTCTCCCAACCATCACCACTGCACAGAAGAAGAAATCATAGCTCAGAAATTGAAGGACTACATAGAAAATATGAACTACTCTGATTTCAGTGTTCTTTTAAGTTAATGTGTTCTTCTTCCAGGTTTTGTGGAATGTAAACAGAGGAATAAAGTAATTGAAAGAGTTCAGTGTTTGATCATCTATTTGAAGAAGGCTTAAACATGTTTTCATGCTGGCTGTATCAACTGTTTTGGGGGTTTTGTTTTTGTGGTTTTTTTAGTAAGTTGTCTATTACAGATGGGCCCAGATCCAAATTACACCACCTCTGTTTCATCCTGAGTTGTGTGTGTGAACTTAATCTAGTTACAGATACCAATCTGAATGTCATGAGCTAAGGCAGGGTGGGGTGGAGTTTGTCTTAAGATCTGACTCCCTTGTTCTCTGGACTTGGAATTGGCTTGAATTTGGCCGGTCCCAGCTAAGTAATTTTCACCTGGTCTTCAAATAAATCAGAAACCACACTGCCCTGTTGCAAGGAGTGACTGTCATTTTATGTCTCTGGCTTTCTAAATCTGAGTTTCTTCTGATGCTGATATTATTCACTGGGAAAAAATGTGTCCCCATTTCCACGGACAGAGGGTGTGAAATAAAAAGTAGAAGTGATAGGTGGGTTTTAAAGGGACCAACAAACAAAAAAAAAGAGGTCAGAATTTATAGGAAAGCAAAAGAAGGCCTTGTTCCCCATTCATCAGTGACCAAATAGCCATGGAGTTGGTTTCATATCTAAATAATTAGGTTCTATCATGTGACGGTTACAAAGAGTCACATACTGAACAACAGATTTCCCTAAAAAAAAAAAAAAAAAAAAATTTTAAATGCACATCACTCTCTGCTCCCTTCCCCCATCTACTTGGCTTCTTGTTTCAGCCTAAGACATGAAGCATACAAGTTATTCAAGTTTACAAACTAGTTAGTGAAATTTAATTAATAAATGAGTGCTAGTGGGTTTAGACCATAACAAGTTCCCTAATTTATTTTTATAAGCAGTTGGAGTAATTTGCAGATATTTGCGACAGAGGTCAAGCACAAGGTTTGCTGTAGCTAGCCAGCTTTTATGGAACAAACAGTGAGTGAGGAAAATTGACACTGAGCAGGATACCTGCAAGATATTTGTATATCATATAATTTTTAAGCCACTGAATTGTGTGGTATAAGAAAATTTTGTAAAATATGCAGGTCTAGATAGGATCTGTACTTGGAAATAAGACCTCACCTCTATGAAACTCTTTGGGGACAGAAATAAGACAGATTTTTATATTGTTTTAATCTTTTATTAATCGAAGGTCAGTCAGGGTGAGGTAAATGGATTTGTAAATCACTTATGATTGGCAAGCAATTAACTTCCGGTAAATGAATTGTACAGACAATGGAGAAGAGTCTGTCTCCACAGGTAAAAGCATTTGTTCATTCAACTCAGATGATTGAAACTTGCCTAGAATTCAAGCTTGTACTTAACATTAGATCTACTTAGAATTTCTGTTCTGCAGCAAGGTCCAATGTTTTCACATTTTAAAATTTCTGAATCAGAGCAAACAATAGACATCCTAAAACTTCCAGTAGAATGGAAGTACTGGGTTTTACTTAAAATCACTGAAAAGTTTTAATTATTTTTTTCCCCAGTATTTTAGTAAAGTGAAATGGACTGATAACCTTTAACATCATAAACCCCATAAAATACAAAAATACTTAAAATAAAAGAAGCCAAAATTTTACTAGAAATAATATTACATAGTCAAAAGAAAACAATAACTGATAGGGTTTTTTCCATTTCTTTATAATGTCAAATTGACTTTTTCAATAAATGGTTTGGTTTTGAGCATTTAATTCTGCATCTCAGCATGACTTGGTCACAGTAAATTAGTTCTGTCTTAACCTAGAAAATTTTAGCCCGGCTCAAAATCAGTGCTGTACTCCAAACTGCCTGAAGGCAATTACCCTCTCAGATTGGAAACCCGGAGATTTTCTGTCCTGGGGCAGTTTTGTTCTTACAGCTCTGGCTTTACCATTGAATAGAGGCCATTAATGATACTGATCATTGGAATCTTCTTTCTTGATCAGCATACAACAATTGTTGTGTAAAAACAGTAAGTAAATTTTCCCATCCTGGTCAAATTCCAGTTCAGATAACAGCACCCTGCTTAGAGTTCCTACAGTTTTAACTGGATAGTATCTGTTAACCTGCTGGGTGTAGTTAAACAGCTGTTGCATTTTGTTTGAGAGGTGGTCTCAGCTAACTCATGTATAAAGTGGATCCCCCCATGCCTGGTTTTACAAGACATTTTGGGGATGGTAAAAGTTACAGAAGTGTCAAAGTTTTTTTTTTTTTTTCTGTTAAGCTTCATCTAATTACTTCAGTGATACAAATCTGATTTTTTTTAAAAATACACATGTGCAGTTTTACCACTAGTCTTGTTCTTAGACCATGTCTCAAATACTCAAATCTCTAAGATCTCTGATATTAAATCTGCTGTGGGATAGGATCAATGCAGTTTTTAAAAATAAAGGCAATGATATTCAACAGATAAAAACATGACAGTTACAATGAAAGTCAGCTTTTTACTTTTTATCATGTGCCAAGGAAGCATATTAAGCATTGTTTGTTTTTCCTTTCTGCAGTTTAAACAGATCAGGATGGATTTTTGATATCCATGAAATTTTGCATATCAGACTGATAAAAATAGCATAGCAGAGAACATCTAATACAGGAATCAGAATCACCACAAATCGAAATTGAAGTGTGAGCGTATTCCAAATTCAGAAGGTCCTCGTAGCACTGAGGCTTCTGTCAGCTGTATAAGCATGACCTCATTCTTTGCTTGCAGAGAAGATACAATTAAGTATAACTATTTACTTCTTGGATTACAGCATTTATTGTCATCATGTCTCTGCATCTCCTTTCCAAAAGCCCAAGCATCTTTGTAGTTTGTATGTTCTGGTGATGTTTAGTATATAAAGTGTAATAAGCACTTTTTTTTTTTTTCTGTTTTGCAATATACCTGGAGTATCTCATCCAAATGAAGACTAGTAATATGCTGCTTTAGAATGTCTTTAAACAGGAATTTGAAAATTTACAACTATTAACGTTCAGCAGTGACCTTATAAACTCCTCTGATAGTTTACTGATGGGTAGGTGATCAAAGTACTGATTTGTTAAGCAATTTCTCAACTCATTAGTGGTAATCTGGAATTAGGGAGACCTGCTCACCTAAAAACATCATCCTATTGAGACCATCAGAATTTTTACTCTTGTCTTCAGCGGGCAAAAATTGGCCCATGATCTAGATTTTTTTTCAGCTTCTAAATACTATTTTTTCCCCATTTAAAATAATGCTGAAATAGAACCCTGTATGAAGGGAATGAAGGCATTATTTTAATATAGGTGTAGTAAAAATGTACTGTTTGGAATGAAAAAATGTCTATGTGGATTAACTAAAATTACTGCAGTGATATCAACCTGTTTCTACAGTTAACTATGGAATCGATAGCTATATGGAACAGAAGATCAATGTACTTCAAGTATAGAAGCCAGATGTGGAGTTCCTTTATGGAGATAGAACACCACAATTCACTATGCATTTGATTTAAATCTGGAGGGAGGGGGGGGGGCAGGAGAAGAGTCACTTACATGAGCTATTCTGCAAACATTTATTTTTACATAACTTCTATCCTTCTCCCGCCCCCCCCCCCTTTTTTTTTTTTT